TGCACAATCAGCCCCATTGTCTTTCAGATTGAAAGAAGAAGGTATCAGTTGTGTTCAATAGCTTCTACGTAGAAGCTGAACTTTTTTATAATCTTGTGCAATTTTTCCTTCGCAATCAGCAGACACTAAGATGTCTGCGGGTTTGGGTCAGGGTTTCCATTGCTCACACAAGCCTTGAAGTTCATGGATTTGTAAGTGTAGAAGGGAAAAATACATTAAATAATACACTTCTAAGGAACTTTTATCCTGGGAAGCTTTGATAACCTTGTGCCATTAACTTATGCTTTTCCTCTGTCATCACAGTGATTTCTTTGGCTCACCCTTCACTGTACGTCCGGTTAAGTGCACATTTTAATTAGCCTTTTAAGCAAGGAGGAAGTTTCTGGAGCCACACGAGACACGTGTGAGCAGCACCAGGGAACTGGACATAGCGAAACACCAGGGTGATGAATCCTGCAAAGTGCTGAGCAGGGGGAGCACGAACAGAAGCAGACACATTTTTCCATCCCATTTGATTTCTTTAGAGGACAATATGTTGCAGTTATTTAGGGCGATAGGATTTTGTACCTCTGGTCCATCAGATCCAGTGTGCTCTTTCCAGAAGAAATGATAATGTGCCTTCAGCTTCTGCTGATGGCACAAGGGACCACAGTGTGGAATAAATGCCACAGTCTTGTGATGTCCCTCGTGGTAGAAAAGACATGACTCAATTACCACAAATATGAAGGATTTTCTGGCACCTGCAGCTGCTGAAATGCAAACTGACCTTGCAGTTTTCTCTGGTTTTATATCTAATAATTATTGTTATACCCTGTCTCCTTAGAGCTACTGCACAAGGTCAGGCTGCTGACTCCCACAGATGCAGCAGCAGGCTGCTATATCTTCAGTTTAAGCTGAAAAGGCAATTTCCTACCAGCTAGTGTTGTTATTTCATAGACTCATAGGATGATTTGGGTTGGAAGGGACCTTAAAGCTCATCCAGTTCCAACCCCCTGCCTCGGGCAGTGACACCTTCCATTAGACCAGGTTGATCATCTGGATCTGATTATTTTTAACATACGAGAAGCAATAATGCATGACAGCTACTGCATGGCAGGACAGACTGCCTGGAGGGGAGAGCTGCATCTGATCGTGCCTGAATTCTGTCATGTCCTTGTCCTCAGCACCCTGCGGGGGCCACTTGACATCACCCAGCGGAACCATCCTCTCCCCGGGCTGGCCTGGCTTCTACAAGGACTCGTTGAGCTGCGCATGGGTCATAGAGGCCCAGCCGGGCTACCCCATCAAGATCACGTTTGACAGGTGCTCACCTTGGGCTTCTCAAAGGGTTCCTGTGTGGTTGCTTTCCCTGGCTCCAGCAGTGCCGAGCTGTAGCCACGCAGAGGAGAAGGGAACGAACCGCTCAGCCTTGTGTTCGGCAGCGACGTTCTCTCCTTCTCTTTTCTTTTTGTAATTAACTCCTGACAAGATGTTAAAATTCACCTCAATTCCAGAAGAAAAGGTAGGAAATGGTGATTTTTTTCCCCCTTCTTGTTTTGACTAACTCCCGCTCATTGGCAGTGCTATTTCAGACACACGTAGGACCTGGTTTTGGAGGCTGAGCTCCCACGTGTTCAGCATGCAGCAGCAGTGAGGATCCCGAGCGCTGAGTCTCTTGACTTGCCCTGGATCTCATGTTTGAGGAGGGCTGAGCTTGCTTGAACCTGGGTCTGTATGCCTGGGAGGTGATTGTGCATTTAGCATAAGACATTTGTGGCTGCAAAGGCTGTTTGGTGTCAGCACAAGAAGCCAGCATAGGATCAGAAACTGAAATGGGGAGGAGGGGAATGGCGTGTTCTCAGTAAGATGCTGCTGCAGCTGAAGGTCAGGCCATAGAAACAGAACCATGTATTGCCCCATGGCATGTGCTGCCTTCCAGTCATTAGAGCACGTTCAGGACTGCAGTGAAGGAAAATTAGTGATGCTGGTTTTTCACAGACCTGTTCTTGTGTCCCTTTCAGGTTTAAGACAGAGGTGAATTACGACACCCTGGAAGTACGAGATGGCCGGTCCTATTCTTCCCCGTTGATAGGTGTCTATGATGGGACTCAGGTGCCCCAGTTCCTCATCAGCACCAGCAACTACCTCTACCTCCTCTTCACCACTGACAAAAGCCACTCTGACATAGGCTTTCAGATCCGATATGAAAGTGAGTGGAAGTTATTCATGTAATTACATGTTCACCAGCAGCACAGTGCTCTCAGAGCCCGCTGGACTTGCTTTTCCCTCTTGCCAGGCAGTTAACACCGCTCCAGTGACTGGACAGTGTGAAGCTGCTGCAAGGGAAGGAGCAGTTTCTGCTTTCTTAGTTGCTTAGAATTTTTGTATTTATTTTAGCATCCATGCAGTATTACTGATTTTGGGAGGCAGATTTGATTTCCTCTGTCCGCTTCATCCTCTTCCTTTTGGGGTAATCAGTAAGACTTTGAGCTCATCGGGGGAGTTGAACTTCCCCCAGTGTAATCACAGCACTTGCAGCTCTGCAGCCACTGGGCGCTCTGACACGAGTGGGTTTGTTTGCCACAGCTGTGAAGCTCCAGTCGGACCATTGCTTGGATCCCGGGATCCCGGTCAACGGCCAGCGCCACGGCAATGATTTCTACGTGGGAGCGCTGGTGACGTTCAGCTGCGATCCCGGCTACACCCTGAGTGACAGCGAAGCGCTGGAGTGTGAACCCAACTTCCAGTGGAGCCGGCCGCTGCCCAGCTGTGAGGGTGAGCAGGGGGGGTAACGTCTGCGGGAGGTGTTACTGCATTTGCAGGAGCTAAGCAGCAGCTGTATGGCTCACAGTGGCGTGTGACCTGTGGGCTGGGTTTGATTTGGATGGGGTGGCCTTTGTTTTGCCATTCAGAAGAACTGAGATTTTTCCAGCTGACGATGGAGTTTGAATTAATTCTTTCTTTATTTCATTTTTTAATGCAGCTCTATGTGGAGGTTACATTCGTGGTTCCAGTGGTACCATCCTGTCCCCAGGCTTCCCTGATTTTTATCCTAATAACTTGAACTGCACGTGGACAATAGAAACATCCCATGGAAAAGGTGAGAAACCTTTAGCTTGGAGTGGTTTTAGGGATGGCCTGAAGGATGGTGGTCAGTGGGAGACAAGTGCTCCCTGTGTAAAACAGGAGTTTGTCTCTAAGTAATGGTGGGTACCATCATGGAACACGTGCTCTCTGTCTCCAGCTCTGTCCTCATTCTGCAGCTCTTATTTCCCCACTAGTGAGGAGCATTACCAGCACAGAGGCAAAGTGCTGATCTATTTAGTCCAGTCTCCTGTGCAGCGCAGGCCAGTCTTTCATCTTGCAGGAAAATGTCAAGAAAATGATCATTGAGGATTAGAGAGCAAGTTTTATGTACAAGGGCAGGGGGTAATTTCTCCTCATCCAGCCAGTATCTGCTTCGGCTAAGCACAAAGGGTATAAACCCTTTATGGAGCTTTATGGCTCTTACGCCACTGTCTCGTTGTACCGGATACCAGCACGACGGGAGCTATCATGAGCCAATTTTGCAAATACCATTTGTATTACAGCAAATAAACTTGTCAATGAACAGCACAGTGCATTAAGGGAACTATCACATGCTGTGAAAAGTGTTCTGTTGAGTAGCAGCAATCCACCACTCCTCATTAATCCACTCTGCCTCGGATTCAGCTCTCTGATGAGGCACTGCATTATCCTGTAGCTAAGCTAAGCATAACACAGAAAACTGACACTCTTTTGTATGAGAAAGTGCAAGTCTAATGGCCTGTGTGCTTTTCTGACAAGAGCAGCAGGAAGTCTCCTGACCAAGCTAAGCAAGGCTTGACAGAACACGGAGCGTTTTCAGGTAGCGGGGATACGTGTGCGTAAGTCATGGGGCTTTTTGTCCCCTGTTCTGTAAAAGATCCTGCTGTGGCCAATTCAGTAGTACAGGAAACACCCATTCCTTGGTGTGATGCAGTTCTGGATGAGTCAGAGAATTCATGTCTGGATCTCGCCATCTTTAACTGGACCATGTTTGTCACACTGGGAGAAGCTGGATGTTGAGCTCTCTGAAAAGCTGGTCCTAGCTTTAGCGGACTGAAGCCTGGCAGCTTTTTCTGGGAATTCTGGCCTTAGCTGCAGGTAATGAATATTGGAAGATCAAACCATGAGGTGCTCTGTAAATCCAGCTAGTTGAAAATGTACAGGTGTCTCTGACAAGAGTTTCAACTGCTCTTACCTGTAAGGCTGTGCTGAAAGGGGAGGATAAGATTCTGAGAAGACACTGACTGTTTGGAATAGAAGAATCTCTGTAATGAAAGGAGCGTGTTCATACTGTGTTTGGTTTGATATTTTCATCCCTCTCCTTACCCACTGCTGGTATCCTTCCTTCAAGGTTGTTCTCACTGGAAATGAACTGCAGCCCAGGGTGGGATCCCTTCTGCAGGGCAGTGCTGCACCCCCTGGCAGGCTCACCCTTGTGCCTGTGGAGCTTTCTGGGCTAGGAAAGCTTCACCCAGGCGGCTGCTTGGATGCAGGAAATCTCCCAATCCAGTTGGAGGTTAGGGCGAGAGGAGAGGTGAAGCAGAGGATGCTGTGCAGTTACAGTAAGCTGGCATACAGCCGACTTAGTGTCAGGAAAACCCCATGGCTCAGGCAAGTTGCTTATTTCCCAGTACAGTGAAAGGAGATGAAAAAGGAAGATGCCCTTTTCCCCTCTTTTTGGTGGGAGATGTTGAAACGTGTTTAGCTGCTGGGCTGTGTTGGAGCGTGCGTACACATCCACACGTGCACATCCTTTCCTTGCAACGATATCCTCCCTTCCATAATGAGCCCCTTTCCCAGCTGTCACTGTGTTAACTGCTGTGTAATGCATTGCAACAAGCTTCTCCCAGCTCTGGTCTGCATTCCGCAACGTTCCTTCTCATTCCTCAGTAAAGAGCAGTAGAACAGTGTGATCCTGAGCCAGAGCCACTGAAATGGAATTAGTTCAGTCCTTGGAGAAAAGAACAGGCTTCAAAAAAAGGTGGAGCTGAAGCCCCTTCCCAGTTACCTGCAACATCAGTGCAGAGTCTTCTCTCTGTGCTTTGCCTTTCAGGTCGCTGTTCTTGGAGACCACGGGGTGCATCAGTGATCACTGGGGACATTTGGTGTTATATTTGCTTAAGTGTTTGCCATTGTACCTGATTTTAATTGTTCTTGTTTCCCACAGCCACTTTGCTCTTGTCACGCTGCTCGGGCTTGCAGCACTGCTGCTGCCCCAGGCCTGGGAAGGCTTTCAGTTCCCAAAAACCAGGACAGAGCTCAGAGCTTGTGCTTCCCGGGCTACTGAAGTATTCCCTGAGCAGGGATGATCTGCATCATAAAACCTGGACTCAAGTTTTCACTCGCAGATCTTTACGGACATCTCGCACATGGGCAGCACACGAGTCCCCTAATTTAAGCAAGTTGTTGTTATAATAGTTATTTTTATATGACTGCAGACACTGATTTACTTTATGGACTCAAGAGCTGTACAATTCCAGTTTTAAAGCAGCTTAATTTTAAAGGTATTTAAACATTTAAAGAGAGACTATTAGTTTTAATCTGAGGACTTCAAAGTGATTTCTTTTCCCTATAATTTGTTTTGCTGTTTTCTTTTACAGAAAATGGTGGGGGGGAGAAACCAAAACCAAGCCTGCATTTGCAGAGACATTTTGCGCCACAGTAATTGCAGACCAAAGGTTTAATCAGAGTCACAAATCCTTTAAAATGAGTTTATAATTAGCCCTTATGGCTACAGTTACACAGTCTTTAACAGGCTCTGCTGCTGGAGAGGCCTCGGGTGACTGGAGTTGGTCTAAAAGACCTGGAGTCAGGGGCTGTCCTCCTAGTCCTGGGAACTGAATTACACTTGGGTTACTCTGTTGGTGTGTTGATTTGGATGGAGTGATTCCTGTTCCTTAGGTTGGGTTTTGTAAAACCAAGGGTACAAATTTACTGTCAGTTGATAAGCAGGGAAAACTGAAAACATTTTGTATTCACTGCATCTCACCCAAGTTTTCAGGCCAAAACAGGTCATACTATTTTTGGTTGACTGTACTGCTGGTAAGAATGACAAACATTTGGAAACCATTCCACGTTTCCTGCCTTTATGGAGTTTTGTGGGGAACAGTGGAACTAAAACGTCTTTGCCATGCTCCGTATAATATTTACCTGGATACAATGAAGGAATTGGCAGTCAAGACCCCTTTCAGTCATCACTACGTAGTGGGCCACACACATACTTCTGCCTGGGACACTGGAGTTGAGCTGCTGTGCAGGGATAAAGATGGAGAGAAAAGAAGGCTGTTGAGATGCCCTGTGTGCTCTTCCCAATCCAGCGATTTCTGTGGGAAAGGCTTTGTATTGGTTACCAGCCCCTCTGACCTTCATTTCTTGGAAGGAAACTGCTTGCATGTGACCAGTAAACCTTCAAAAAGAAATTGGCTAGGCATAGGGATAAATGGAATATTCAGAGTTCTAGTTTGACGCTGACAGAAACCTGTTGGGATGGATGTTAAATCTCATGCTCTGGAGCTTTAATCAGGCTCTAGATTGGTCACATGCTGATCTCCAGAAATTCATGGGGAGCAAGGAGGAGATTATTCCTCTGATCCTTATGTACAGGTTTCCTGTGCTCGCTTGGGAAGCAGCTGATGCTGTTCTTTGGCAGGGATGGGATGCAGAGCAACACAGCCCTTGGGTCTCACCAGCCTGGCAGGCTCCATGGTGTTAATCACTGGCGTAACTGCAATAACTCGGTCATGCCACTGGGCACTCCTGGTCCGTGCCAGGAGGAAGGGCTCTGGCTGTGACTGCTGGAGACCAGTCGCAGCTCCTGGGCTTGCACAGGGGAGCCTGTCTCTGCAGACAGCATTGATGGCTTTAGTGGTGGTGAGAGGAGAGCGAAGCCCTCTCTGCCTGAGCATGGGCTCAGAGCCTGCCCCGCGGGTGCTCAGTGTGCTGAGATCCTCGGGTGAAAGAAGCCCTATAAATGCAAAGAGGCTTTTTTATTGCTAAGCGTTGCTTTAGCTTGTTAACGTTGTGTGACGATGATGTGACAGGGGCTTCGACACAAGATCCTGCCTTGCTCTGCTCTCTGAAAGCTGGCGCTGCCAGTTCTTGTTTTCCAAAGATGGAATTTATTTTCCAGAGAATAAGTGTTTCTAATTGCATTTGAATTCCAGCATGAAAACCCACCTAGCTGGAGGCTTCTGCACAAGCCTGAAGTACTTCCTATTTTGTGTCTGTAGGTGTGAAGGATGCCTTAAGTAATCCATTACTCCTTTCTTGTTCATTTACAAATGCAGCAAGGTCACAGTCTTCTCAGCAGAATGTTTCAAACAGCTGGAATTGAATTTGGAAGAAGAAACAAAATAGTTACCCCGTGTTGGTCTCTTCTTTCTGTAGCTGGATGTGTTGGGGTGTCTATTTTTGCCAGTATAATGGGTATAGAGGTGTGGGATTGACTTTGCTTATGAGCTGTGTATAGCTGAGGAAACGCAGGTCTGTTCATGCATAATCACTCATGTTGTCCGCTGACCTCCAGCGTCCAGCATCCAGCCCATCATAGCCCATCCAGTCCCTGCAGTCATGCTGCTGACATACTTCATCTTCTGGAAAAGCCTCTCTGACCTTGATGCTTGGCTCAAGTCCTATTTTTCTAAGTATGAATTCCATCTGGAACGTACTTGGTTTTGCTGTTTTCAAGTCCTCATAACTGCAGCTTTTGCTGCTCTTGCTCTCTAGCTAAAGGTCAACACTTTTAAAATGAAATACTTCTCTTAGCTACCAGCTCGGTCCTTTCTGCTGCTGCTCTGTCCCTTGAGCGAGCCTGCGTTGTCTCTGTTCCTGTGTTACAAAGGCACAGGAATCGAAGATCTCAATGGCCTTTCTCTGTGCTGGGCCTTGTACCATACCCTCGTTTTCCTTTCTTCATCTGTTTCCTTTCTAACATAAATGTGTCTGTGATTTTCGGTGTGCTTTTCCTTCTTGGTTGGGCTGCTGTTACTGGGAAACAGGGAATTGAACTGGGGTCTTCTCGGGGAGAGGCTGGGACAAAGGGGTGCCACACAAACACCTCTCTCTTTCTCCTCCCTTGCAGGTGTGTTCTTCACTTTCCATACCTTTCACTTGGAGAATGGCCATGACTACCTCCTGATCACTGAAAACACCAGCTTTGCTCAGCCCCTGAAGCAGCTGACGGGTTCTCGGCTCCCAGCCCCACTTAGTGCAGGGCTCTTTGGAAACTTCTCTGCTCAGATTCGCTTCATCTCAGACTTCTCCATGTCCTATGAAGGTTTCAACATCACCTTCTCCGGTAAGGACAGGGGTGGGCAAAGATGTCATTGTTTCCTTTCCCACTTTTCTGCAAATCTTGTGAATAATTCTCTGTTGATGCAGTTACGTGGGATTTGGGTCACTGACAGTCACTCTTCTTGTTACCCCAGGAAATTATTCTAGCATGAAACCACAGTGTGTCCCAAGAAACAGTCTTCTTGTGGTCCCCATATCACCAAATGCAGCAGTTTTGCCTTAAGCCCCAGTAGATGACTGGATTGAACCCCTGGAATTAAGTCCCACTACAGATGTGTTTGTTGCTTTCTCCCTCCTCACCTGATCATCTTTTCTGCTCTGTTTATGGTCTGAGTTTCAGCTCACGTTTTTTTGGGGTGTGCTGTCCCTCTTCCCTCCAGATGCCTGCCTTCTCTGTTTATCAGAGGAAAAGCATTGCAGTAAGTACAGCATTTCTAACATGGGAAGCTGGGACAGATGGGATCTTTTGGAAGGCAATGCTGAGCAATCTGGACTTCTTGGATAAGCAGCAAGGCAGTGCTGGTCCCTCCCATTGTCCGTCTGGTCTCTCTTTTTTCCTTTGGTTCATTGCTCCACTTGGAGCTCATCCACTGACCCAGCCTCTGTCTCTGGCTTCAGCCTGCCCTAGATGCCACACGTGCCTCCTGCAGCCTGGGCCAGGTTTCCATGAGCCCACTGGCATTGCTGGGGAACTGGGAGCAGCATTTTCTCTTGCTGGGCTCTAACTGACCTGCTGTAATGGCAGATGAGGGCAGACCTCTTGGTGCACAGGGCAGGGCCTGGGGGGAGGCAGGATTCTGCTGACTTCGCAACCTTCCTCACGCTGCTGTGCTGGTGAAGATCTGGCCTCTGCCCTGAGAACCTCCAGGGAGCCAGTTCAGCCCCGTGCTTACTAAACCGAGCCACTTCTGATGCTGCCTTTGACCGTGATTACACAAAATGCTGGTTTCTTCACATGAACTTCTGTGTTTTCAGAAGTGGTCAATGAAAAGCAGCGTGTATGTGGTGCTTTTGGAGAGAGGCTCAAAGAAAGGCTTGTTTCCCTGTGCAGAACAGACCATCTCACCAGTAAATAATTGCTACACGTGGGTAATCTCTGCTTCAAGTGCACAAGGTGTCCTTTAACTCAGAGTCCTACAAATGAGCGCTGTGCACGCACTGCAGAAATCTGCTGAGCTCCAGTGCCCTGACGAGCTGTTCTGTAAAGCACTCACTTAGTGGGCAGAGGCTTTTTGCACTGGGGCTGTTCTTCCCTGGGTTTCAGCATCCCTTTTAATCTGGAGGGCACCAGCTGCAAATTCAGTGTGCTGGTGTGGAAGAGAAATGACCAGTTCTGCTGTGGAGCTCGGTGCTGGGATGCTCAGTGCCTTTACCAGACAGAGCTCTTGCCATAGATGCAGATCAAACCTGCTGCACTGAGAACTGGCTTCCAGGGCTTTAGTTCTGGCCTCTCAAGTTAGGGATTCGCATGGAAACTAGTATATATTTTCCATACTCCATGGAAACTAGTCAGAAAGTTTCCAATTCACTTTCATTTTGATGTGTGGAAAAGGCTTTTTGCCTTAAAAAAAAAATGCCTCTAACTGTAACAATTGTTTTCAATGTATTTGGAGACTTCTTTCCTATCTTGGAAAGTGAAAATGGGAATCAGTTGTGGTTTTAGCTTTTGTCAGATATATCTGTGCATTCTTTTACTTCTGCAGGTCTGTTCGCTCTCAAAAAATAACCCTCCAAAGAGGTTTCCATCAAACGTTTAGAGGTTGAAGGCATGGATTTGACTATTAGCCAGAATGCTGCTGACCTTTCTTTTAGCAGCAGCTTACATGTTCTCTTGCATTCCCCAAGCAAGATGCTGCGTTCATTCATTTCCAGGGTTAGTGACGTAGAGGCAGCAGAAATCCCGTCTGGATCAATTCGTCTTTGCTTGACTAAACCAGAGGGAGAACAACAAATTTCCATCGTGTTTTGTAACCACTGATGTCACGTTCTTGTTTGTCTGACAACAGTGACAGAAAATGAACCCTGCTGTATTTTGAGCTGGTTTAAGTCAAGATTGGTGGGAGGGGGAGAGGGGCGGCCATCAGGGGTGAGGGGAGAGCAGAGGTGGCCACGAGGGGCAGGAGTGGCAGCTGTACAGTGTGGACCACTGTGGGGGCAGATGAGGGGTGGCTGTGAGTGGAGATCGTGAGGGGCAGCCATGAGGAGAGATCATTTTGCCCGTAGTGACATGGGTCAGTGGTGGGCTTGGCACTCTTGGGGTAACAGTTGGACTTGATGATCTTGATGGGCTTTTCCAACATAGTTGATTCTGTGATTATCCTGGTGATGCCCTGGGGGTTGCATATTGAGAGTGAAACCCAAGTTGGTCTTCATGGCTCAAACAGGATTTACGTCCTCATGGACACTTCCTTTGCAGAGCTTCACTGCAGCTAGATCAAAACTTAGAGCTTCCCCCTCACCCTCACGTTCAGGAGCTGGGGTACCATCACCAGGGAGAGCAGAGTATGAGGTGTCACCTTGCCATTCCGTAAATGTCCCTGTGTCCCCTGTAGAATATGATTTGGAGCCCTGTGATGAGCCGGAGGTCCCAGCCTACAGCATCAGGAAGGGCCTGCAGTTCGGAGTGGGAGATGTCCTCACCTTCTCCTGCTTCCCCGGGTACCGGCTGGAGGGCGCATCCCGCATCACCTGCCTCGGGGGGAGACGGCGTGTGTGGAGTTCGCCTCTGCCAAGGTGTGTTGGTAGGTGGTCACGTGCTTTCATTTTGCTGTGCTGCTGGTTTCGGTGGGCAGGGATGGGTGGTGTCCCCCAGGAGGGCATCTGACAGCTCGCAGGGTGGTTGGCGCAGAGGTGGGGGACAGGCAGCTGGAGTGGGATTTCAGCCCTGCAAGTGTGTGTGGGGACGGCAGGGACGGGCGGACGGGCTGGGGTTCCCTCTTGGGCTGGAGCCCACCAAGCACGTAGCAGGTTGGGTCACTGCTCAGCAGGCACCTGATGTCTCTGCAGCCCCAGTGATTGCATGAGTGGATGAATTGTGAGCCATGGGAGAGACATCAGCCCTTTTGGGATAGTTTCTGATAAATAGCATGGTTTTAAGGCCATGCCTCCTTTTGAATCAAGACTACAAAAGCTGCTTCTGTGTGGTCAATCTTAAGCAATGCAAATTCCACGTTAGTGTGGATATGTCTGGGAACCCTCCTCTGGCTTCTGCCTTTGCCTTATCCTCCAGAGGTTTCTTGCACTGCACACTTTTTACTTCATCTCTTCCCAACTATTGTGGGTCCTTTTTGCAAACCCTCCAGCCATTATTACACTAATACATAAATGTAGGGACAGAGGGGAGGAAGTCTTCATCTGCAACACTGAGCTGGTTTCTGGCTGTCATCTGTGCTGCAGATGGGGACAGACAGGCTTGCCTGGCAGGGTCTGCAGAGCTCCTCCCTGCCCACCCCACGATACCCACCAAGCATGATGGTTAGTGTGAAAGAACAGAGGGGGCAATGTGCTACAGCAAGCAAGCAGAAAGGGAAAGATTTAACATACTTTTTTCTTGTACAGTTTAGTAAGTAGGAAACTGCCCAATGCTCTGCTGCTGCCAGAGCCATGAGGGATTCACTCACATCAGGCAGACCAGATCTCTTACCTGTTTACACTCTGGCAAAGCCTGCTAGGAAGGTTTTCCTGATCTGTGGTAGTGACCTTTGAGGGCCATTGCAAATAGAGCATTCCAGCAAGAGCTGCTCTGCTTTCTCAGGCTGGATTCATTTCCCAGCACTGCTTAAAGCTTAGGTCACAGGGCTGCATCATGCTGCTGCGACAAGCAGCCTCTTCAGGGCATGAATGATAATCAGGTTGCAGAGAAAGCTAATCAGGGGAATAGACATCAGAAAGAATCCTAACAAAGCTTTAAACTAGATCCTCAGACATCATCACTAAGTGGACACAGTGGCTTCATCTCCCAGTCCCCTACTGCAGCTGGTTTGAGTTAGTATGTTGGGTTTATAGTAATGGGTAAAATGGATCAAATTCAGTGTCTGTCGGTTTGCACAGAGCTCTGGTGGCAGCTTTGTCCACGATGTCCCTGCCGCACACCTACATCTGTGTACACACCTGGATATACTGGGTGTTGGGGAAGTACCCCTTAAGATCGCAGGAGCTTTGTTTCTGCTGGACAGACCAGACACTTTGTATTCAATTTCTGTTCTAGAAATGAGTCTGGAAAGAAATAAGGGTAGTTTGGTGCTTCCTTACTTAACCCTCACTTAATCCTTACTTAACTTACTGCGTTACTGGAAGAGCAGCAGAGGTGGCAGAGTCCATGCAGAAGGCTGCACCATGGTTTGCCTCTGCTCCAGCAGCTTGGTATGTTGGGAGGGGCTTGTGGAGACGAGGCAGAGGCTGCTGCTCGGAAAAGCTGTTTCCAGGGAGGTTGGAGCGATTCTCCCCAGCTGTGCACACAAACCACCGGCACTCGAAGGAACCGGGAGCCAGTGGTTACAGCTGGAAATCTTTCCGGATAAACAGGCCGAGAAAACAATGGCTTGTGGTTTGCTCCTGTGGGAGCTAATCAGGGAGTAGCCAAAAATCCTGAGCACATGGTGGTTGCAAGGCAGGTTTACACATGTTGGGGGATCGTGGATACACAGTGAACTGGCTGCGGTCAGGCACTGGGACCGGGCAGCACTGCTGGCAGCAGCAGAACGTCCTTTGGATGCTGTGTTGCAGGCAAGCCCTCCAGCTGTGTGGAAGCACTGCAGACTTTCACTTCCTCCCCGGGATAACGGGAGGCAGGAGTTCATCCTCACACTGTGCCATGAGCTCCAGTGGAGCTCAGCGCTGGCGCTGGCAGCAGCAGTGCTGCTGCTTGAATGTCTGCTCACTGCTTCATGTAGTGAGGATGTGCCCGTAGCAGTCCTCTTACACTCACTGTGGCATGGTCCTATGAGAGAGAGATTGTGGTCTTAAAAGCTTGCCATTAAAACACGTAAAATGCAAAGATGAGGGATGGTTGTTGCTATTTTCTGGAAGCATTAAACTGTGATCTGCTGACATCCAAACCAGGTTGAACCTCCAAAGCTGCCATTCCCTTCCTTCTCTAAAGAGGCTTATTCTGCCAAGTTTGGAGTCTCACAAATCTTGTAACTTCAAATTTGGCTCAAAATCAAATGCTGTTCACACTACATAGAGTAGAAAAGGAAGCAGATCTGGTGAAGGAGAAGTCTTCCTAGAAGAATATGATGGAACAGGGGCAGACAGCAGATCGTGGTGAATAACAACAGGGAAGGGACTCTTTCCTTCCTTCCTTTTTTCCTTCTTTCTAGAGTCATGGCATTTTGTAATCTGTCATAGGATGTAAACTCATCTCAGGGAAGGGGGAAGGAATTGCAGTAACATTAACTACCCCTGTCCTTCCAGTCCCCTGCATGAGAGGTATGGAGGGGTTCTGACCTCAGCATCTCCTCCCTTGTCCCCAGCCCCTTGTCATATGAACAAGGAAGGTCAGTTTTGTCTGTGCCACAGAAAAACCTGAGCCCGCTGTGGTTCTTTTGAGTGACATTTGGGGAGGAAACAAAGATACATAAATCGGAGCTCATTTCCCACACTGAGAGGCCAGAGAGCCCTGTCTGTTTCTGAGGGAAAGGCTGTAATTGTTAGCTGCAAAGCTGGCAAGAAGAAAACACAGGGAGCAAGGGGCAAGAGGTCCTTTAAAATACCTTCAAATGATGACCTGGCGAGCTGGGGGCAGCATTAGCAACAAATGAGACCCAGATTTGCCCTCTTAGCTTTCAGAAAATTATTTTGAGGAAGGTTTTGAAGTTCAGCCTTAGCTTTAACATTCCTAATAGTCTGGAGGTTGCACTAGGCATGTCTGTCCACACAGAGAGCTCTGGCTCTTGCAGCACGTTGGGACAGCAGTCAGTGGCGTGCTGTGTTGGCTGTTAAATACCATTGTTTTTCTAGGCTATTTATAGGTATAGGAGGAGCTTTGTATAAGTATGGAAAAGACATTAAGCATTTCAGTCTAATATTTTTTTACATTCTGGCTCATGAATTAGAAGGAACATGAACACAGGCTCTGCTTCGAGCAGGTGGTGGCTTTCCAGGGATTTTGGAAGGGTTTTGAGTTGGGTCCCAAGGTAGCATTTGAGCCCATCAACTTCCTATGACTCAGTTTCCCTGTCTGCATAAGGAGAGGGCATTAATCTCTCTCATAAGACCCCCGAAGTTTAACGATGATAGAAGTGCTGTTGAGCACTGTTTTGTTTACTGACTGCGCTTGGAAGCAGAGCCCATGGATGTGGTAGCAGATGGGTATAGGAAAGAGAGAGCATCTGTGGCTGATGGAGGCATCACCTGCATGTGTTGTATGGCTGGAGTACAATGGGATAATTAAAATGCGTGTTTTTGTCTTTATATAGCTGAATGTGGTTCGTCTGTAACTGGAACCCAAGGTGTTCTGCTGTCCCCCAACTATCCACTAAACTATAACAACAACCATGAGTGCATCTACTCCATCCAGACCCAGCCAGGAAAGGGGATCCAGCTGAAAGCCAGGACTTTTGAACTGGAGGCAGGAGATGTCCTCAAGGTAATTCTTGTGCCTCAGGCAGGGAAGCACGACATGCTGTGTCCTTCTGGCACGGCAGTTTGGAGCACAGCAGCGACGTGCCCATGGAGCAGACTGAACTTCAGGCAGGGCAGCTGGGCTAAAACTCTGTCTCTGTGCATCCCCTCTAAGGGTAGAGTGAGAGACAAGATATGATACAGCTCTGAAACGGTATTTTCCAGCCCAAGGACACTGAGCAGCGTGTCACTGCTGTGCATTAGTTTGTGCTTTAAAACATCCTGTGTCATTTTAGGGAATCAGCACCTCTGAACTTCACCAGCTCCCAGCAGTCTCTGGCACTGAAGCAATAGTGAATGTCCTGTGCACTTCAGCCTAGCTGCTTATTTGAGGCTTCAGTCTGCAGAGGGATGCGTACACAAATCCTCTGTCCATTAAAAATGCAGATGTCTTTGCTGTATCTCTGCACCTTCTGCTGTGAAGTCTTCCTGAGATCTAGAGATTTGTTGGAATGCCAGTTTAGTTTGTAGCTAAACTGCAGCTCTTGTCTGCGGAGTTGTACAGAGGAGCTGTTAACACACGAGGAGGTGTGAGGTGCTTAGCGGTATTTTTGTTTTTAAGAATCAACGCTGATTTGTCCCCAAAAAAGAGTTTATTTAGAGGCAGAATTCCAGACAAGCTCTTCAGCATTCCCACACTCAGATTAATCTGCATTTACAAGTTTCAGGGCTCTATATAGGAGGAGGCAAATCCAGGCTGAGTTTGTTAACCACAAAGAAATGAGGTTTGTAGCAGACACTAATATTACAAGACGTGTGCTGCTGTGCTAAGCCATCTTCCCAGAGAACGCCTCTGTCCTTATTTAAGTGCCATACTTCTGCACTGCAAGATGGGTGTAATCCACATATTTTCAGGTCACAAATGACTGGAAAGAGAGAGAGATTTCCAGCTAATGCAGAGAACATACTCGTTGTGGAGGAAATGGTGTTCTCTCAACAGGTTTGTCATCAACTTCTCATCTGCTCCTGAGGAAAGGAGCTATCAATCTCCCCTAGTGAGAAGTTGCTCTTTATCCTCATAGAGAATCATGCTATCTAAAAGAAACGGATAAGAAATGTGTTTTCTTAAATAATAGCGGGGTCAAGGCACATCTATGAGTCACTGTAGGGAGAAAATGTTTTTCCTGGTAGCTGTGCTTTGGGAAGACAGCTTGGTTCAGAAAACACAGCCCTGAGTGCAGTGTAAGCTCAGATGTAAAGAGAAGGATGTGGATCCTGCAGGGTGTGAATCCTGCGCCCGAGATGAGTGGCACCAGTCTCATGAAGCCAGACTCTTAGTTGGGGTAGTTTCACTGGCTTCAAAGGACTTGTCCCTGTTCACACTCAGGGGTGATTTGGTCCCTGAAGTAGCAAATAAAAAATGTTTTCCAGTCCGTGTTTCTTGCTCCTGCCAGGTCTACGATGGCAGCAATAGCTCTGCTCGCCTGCTGGGCTCCTTCAGCCGCTCCGAAATGCTCAGCACCAGCATCAACAGCACTTCCAGCAGCATGTGGCTCGAGTTCATCACCAACACTGAGAACACGAGTAAAGGCTTTGAGCTGCAGTTTTCCAGTAAGTCCTAAGACCCATATGCTTGTGAGGTGGGAATCTGAAGTGTAGTGCTGTATTTCTGGGTTGCACTTGCATGGCCAGAGGAGACGGTCCTTTCCAGAAAGATCTTGCAGTCTCCAGTGGAGTTGGAGTGGGAGAGATGGTAATGTCAGCAAGCCTGTTCTGTTGTGAATGAGGCGGTGGTGATGCAGAAACTTTGGATCCAAGCTGAGATACCAGATTTGTGGGATCTCGTTCAAATATTAATTAAAAAAATATTGATGTTCAATATGGTGTTTTTTCTCTTTAGCAAACGATTTTAAGAAGAAAATTATGATCTGATCTGTGTTAATATCTCCTGGCAGTTAGATATTGGACGAAAACAGATGCTGTTTCTCCCGCTCCAGGTTTTGAACTCATTAAATGTGAGGACCCTGGCATCCCACAGTTCGGTTACAAGGTACATGACGAGGGACATTTTGCTGGCAGCTCAGTATCCTTCAGCTGTGACCCTGGCTACACCCTGCGAGGCAGCAGGGTGCTGGTCTGCCTGACTGGGGAGCGGAGAGCTTGGGATCAACCCCTGCCAACCTGTGTAGGTGAGACAACTCCTGCTTTGAAAGCATCCTCTAACAAGTACTCCCTTGTGGGCATCATGCTGAACGCCTTTTCTTCCTCCTTTGCTAATACGTATGACATTAACTCTGATATTGGTTCCACCCCTCTGCATTAATAAAGACTGTGATAAGGGTGCTGTGTAAGGCACCTTCAGGTTGAGAGCAGTGAAAAGCTTCTACAAGCAGCCTGAACATGAAACACTGTGCTCCAAGCCCATGTTTGACAAGGTTTCCTGCTTCACTGCAAGGTGCTTTTCCAGTCCTTGTCCTCACTTGAATGTGTTAAACAGAGTGGCACTTGCTGATAATGGCACACATCAGCGTATGTCCAGGCTTTTGACAGTTCAAAGTCATGTTTATTTGAGAGCTACATGACATCTGATCCCAGATTCTGAGACATTTTAATTCCCTCTGTCTTTCCTTAGCTAAGTCCTGAGTCCCCTTTTACTTGTAGCTCTCCAGAAGAATATCTTCTTGCTTGGAAAATTCTCATACTAACTTTCTTCTATCTAAAAGAATTGCTGTTGGTTTGTTACTTGACAACTTCATATTTAGCCAGTGTATCCAGGACATGGCGAAGTTCTTACTGACTTAGTCCTCTGAGAGATCTCAACAACCAGGAGGCTGCTTCTATGGCTATGACTGATGTGCTCAGACATAGGCACCCCCATGAGTTAGAACCATTCTTTATGCAGTAACTCTCTGCTGAATTTTAGCCTTGATTATTGAGGTAGAAAGACAAATTTCTGTGATTTATGCACCATCTTAACTTTCACCCTATTTGCTATATGCATATTACATGTGAACAGTCATGTCTGAGCACGTGGACCCATACAGTATTTTAATGGATACATTATGAAGATGTATTCAGAATCCTCATTCAGCAGACACGCACGTATGTTGGCTCCTTCGTTTTGTCACACTGATGAATTGTTCAGCTGTTTTGCAGATACAAGCAGAAGAATTGAGCTCTTTCACCCCACACGTGTGAATCAGGGAAAGCAGGATGCTGGCAGGCTCTGCCTTTACTCACTACAAAGTCAAAAAGGTGGAGGGGAGCTTTGACAGCATGTCAGATGTTAGGAACGTGCACTGAAGTGCAGCTGAATTAAATTACTCTCTTCATCTTTGCTTTGTAGGCTTTAAGAATCTCTTTAAATGGCAAGAAATACTCCCTGTTGTATTTGTAGGATGAGATTTGCTTTGTTGCCAAGTAAGAACTGTAATATGTCATGAATCTTCTCACTAACCCATATGTTTCTTTCAGCTGAGTGTGGGGGAACTATCAAAGGAGAGTTGTCAGGTCGGATACTGTCTCCTGGCTACCCAACACCCTACGATCACAATCTGAATTGTATTTGGACAATAGAGGCAGAAGCTGGTTGCACAATAGGGTGAGTTGGGCCAGGTTATTGTAGCTTGGTTTTCTTTCCATGTACAGGTTATTTTTCTAGCAGCAGATCAATAATTATACAAGGCAAGTAGAGAGAATGCCCTGACACTTTCATAATCCCAAACAAAGGAACAAGTGCTGCTTTATCTTGCCAGGTTGGACAGAGGGGACATCACTTCTTTCTCTTCAGCTTTTTAGCCCTGTATGGACTGTGTCTTAACAGCTATTGTGCCATGGGTGGTGACACCAGGTGATGTGCTATTGCTGCCTGTAGTATTTCTGTATTAAAATAACATCCAAGAGCTTTTATGTGCAGGTACAATGTAAACCCCTTCCCTTAATGTGATGTGTTCAGAAACAAATCTTTCCCACCAGATTAACGCTGAATTTCCCAGCAGTGTTTACATGTGTCCAAGTGACATAATCCGAAAATGACAATGTATGTATAAAATTTCCTGGAAGATCACATTCCAGGAAGGGATAAAGGCGGTTTGGTTTGGTTCACCTCCAACACTGAACACTGAAAGGGAAAAGCTCTGTCACATTATAGTTGTGAGAGTGAACAGTCAGGTGTGAGGGTCCTCAGATGTGAGTGGACAGCTGGAAAACTGAGACCACAGCACTTACCCTTCATCTTCTAATTACATCTTTTTATTGGTTTAATAATACATAGAGCACATACAATGTAATTATCCTCCCAGAGGAAAGTCTCAGGTTGGTTTCTAAACATCTGGTCTGTACAGAGACCAAAGACTCTTTTCTCCTCCTCCTCCTCTGACTTCTTTTATTGTCCTGTTGCCACTTTCCAGTTGGAAAATGGCAGTTTGAAATGTAATCTGTTTCTGAGTTCTGTGAATTTGGCACTTAGGTAAGCATGGTACTGAGAACATTTGGCTCCTACAGTTAGTGCAGTCACCAGCAGAATCCAGGCAGTTTCCTGCTCAGTGATACTTCATCTGTGATCCCTGCTGCTTAGCCACTGTTCCCACGCTGAAGTTTGCCCGAGCCCTGCCAAGCCGTTTCAGTACCGCTCTTTGTGTACCCATGTGTTCCAGTCCAGCTAAAGCCATCTTCAACAGAAAACTGAAGTATATTGGCAAGTAAAGTGTCTGCTAAGTGATGGGATTTGAGAGGGAGAAATGTAGATGATAAGGTCTGTTCAACAATAATCATCTTCTCCCACGATCTCCCCTCCTAATTTCTAGTGCTTGTTAGCTGCTGTGTCAGCCCCATTTCTGTGCTGACCTGAGACCTGTTGCTGTTCCAGTCCTACTCTCCTTCCACTGTCAGTGCCCTTTTATCCGACACAGCCTCCTTGCTGCATCAGCACTCATCATCTCTTCAGCAGAGGCTGTTAATCATGCTGAGCTCTAGGGTGCTTTTAGATGATGCGTTTATGCTGGAGATAGGTTTGGTCCAGTATTTTCATGTTACTTAATGGAGAAATGTCCTCCATTAGCTCTGCTCTTCAGTACGGTTCAATAATGGATGGTTTCTGGTGTGAGCGCAGGACAAAGAGCATGGTCAGTGCAGCTTAATTCCTGCACAGGCAGCTTCCAGTTGAAGTCTCCTCTTTTTTTTTTAATGTGAAAGGTTCTGAAGAATGCGGATTTTCAAAGGACAACGTGGACAGCAGACACCCCCTCCTCCTCCTCCTCCCCAAAAGCATAAGCGACTGCTTCAGCAAGTGAATTCACTAACACACAATCCCTGTCTGCTTCTGTAAGAGTACCCAAATGAGAAGCTTGTGTTTGCAGGATGAGCCAGAGGCTTGGATGGGGCCAGAACTGAACTGAACTGGTGCCAGGCAGTGGTACAGTGATACACCTTTGTGACCCTTCTGTTCATCAGAGATGAGAGCTCCCTTCTTGTGCTCCTTTATTTGGCAGCTCAAACAGAACAGATGATCTCTGGGTAGTTGAGAGAGCACATTTTCAGCAACTTCATTTTTATGGTAATCCATTGGAAAAATAATCCTCTTCACGCATGGTACAATTGTATAAAGCTCTCATTTATAACTTACATTAAAATTAATCACCGAAGCTTTTTGAATAAAGCTGTATCTGCACAGAACGAGGGGAAGGAAAGATGGAAAAATTAGTCTGCACATTATTGCCATGAAAGTTAAAAGGGTTGCACTCTGAGAGAGGATTAATCCTGTGCATGTGCAAACACGCGAATGCACATGCACATAAAATTACAGCTAAAATGACATGACTTATCTGTGAGACTTGGGAGAGAAACAGGAAGGAGAAGTAGGAGGGAACACTGGGAAATGACTGAAAGTTGCCTTCGAGTGCTGCTTGCACAGCTGGGAGCAGTGAGCACACAGAAGTGGCACTGGGGGTTATTGTATAGCAGTGATCTCGGTGTCATAAGAGAGTTTGTTCACAGAATTACAGACTGCTTTGGGTAGGAAGGAACCTTAAAGCTCCTCCAGCTCCAACCCCTGCCGCAGGCAGGGACACCTTCCACTAGAGCAGGTTGCTCCAAGCCCCTGTGTCCAACCTGGCCTTGAAAACCGCCCGGG